ATTAGAGGCCACTACCAAAATGGCGGTCCATAATGTCCAAACCAACTGCAGCCGTACTCTAACTAAATAAAGAGCTGCGTACAGCCAGCGGCCGCCATGTTAGAGTGTACATCTTCCATCCTACTTCCGCTGAGTTTGCTGTGATCAAAATTCTTGTTAATTTGTTAGTTAATAATAATTAATATTAATTAAATAAAATATTTGACGGTTATGAGTGATATAAGTTCAAAACGTAAATGTAAAGGTGGTGCGGAGAAAGTAAGAGATAAGAAACAAAAAAATCTTGGTAAAGATGGAGCTAAATGCCGAAATCTAGTCGATTTATTTAAAGCCACCCCAATGGGAGTCGCTTAGTCGATTGATTTGTCACGTGATGAGAGTGAAAACGAGTAAGACTGTCGGTAGGCTGTGTACAACACACTAGTGCTTGACAACAGTAGCCCGTTACATACTACAACTAGTAATTCAAGATGCCTAGGCAATGTTCGGTTTTTGGCTGTTCAAACATTAAAGTTAAGGACATCGGTATAAGTCTGCATAAGTTTCCACTTAAGGATAAAGAAAATTTAAGACAATGGCTTGACAAAGTGGACCTTCGTTAATTATTTACATGAAATCTTGTTCCAACCGTTTATTAAAATATTGTGGAGAGTTCGGACTTGGAGGCACCGACTGATCAAAGGGCCAGGCGCGTTCGGACATGGAGGCGCCGACTGATCAAAGTGCCAGGCGCGTTGGGACCTGGAGGCACCGACTGATCATGGGCCGGGCGCGTCAGATCTTACAGCAGGGTACCGGCCATCTGACCTGGGACGACTGGTTGGTAACCTGGAGGCGACGGGGTGGGGGTAGTGACCGACTGATCAAAGGGGCGGGCGCGTCAGATTACAGACCTGGGAAAGGAACTCTTATGGACCAGGGACTTATAAATAGGGACCTCTGGACGGGACAGACAGAACGCGGCCGGACAGAGAAGCGGACAGTCAGGGAGAGCTCCGATGGTAGGAGAAGAGGGCAGAGTTGCGAGATGAGAGAAGGTATAAGCGAAGTGTCAGCCTAATAAAGAAAAAGATTATAATCATCAAATGTTATCGCCTGAGTTGCTTCCTTAGTGAATATCAGATATAGATGGAGGTTAGCAGAGAGCAAGCAAGGTTTCCTTACAATATTCCTTCGCCCGCACCAATATTGAATAAACACGCAAATGATGTCATGGGTATGCCGACATTTCGTCCAATGAAAATTAACAATTAAATAAACAAAGGGGAATGACTCCTGTACAAATATTGAATAAACACGCAAATGACTTCATGGGTACGCACGGAGTTCAACAACATCCTGCCGATAATAGTATTGATAGTTCCCATCGAATATCGCTCACACATTTTTCAAGGTTTCCTTACAATATTCCTTCGCCCGCACCAATATTGAATAAACACGCAAATGATGTCATGGGTATGCCGACATTTCGTCCAATGAAAATTAACAATTAAATAAACAAATGGGAATGACTCCTGTACAAATATTGAATAAACACGCAAATGACTTCATGGGTACGCACGGAGTTCAACAACATCCTGCCGATAATAGTATTGATAGTTCCCATCGAATATCGCTCACACATTTTTCTTGAAATAACTTTCTTCCTTTAATTATAACTGACGTATATTTATTGTCACAATTATGTATTTCATTTAAAAAAACGCGTGTATTCCAGAATATTTTGAAAGGTTAAATTTTTAATTAACATGACATTGGGGAAGCACTGATGAAGTATCTTTTGTTGTGTGTAACAGCCTAGTGATGGCTTACTCTCATCACGTGACCAAACAAGGAAGTGACTAAGCGACTCCCATTCAAACTAAAGACACCGTCTCTCAACAAAAACCTTCTACAAGTACACAACCCGACACAAATCAAAACGATGACAACAATCAGCATTCAGTAGTGCCAATAAATTTGATTCCCACCTTACATTTAGAAAATGTGACGGAGTTAACTGACAACACAATATGTATGCAAACAACGCTGGCAGTGGCAGATCTAAATCCCGAAAATGATAGTTCAGAACCTTCAGTTATCGATGATAAAAACACCAGTTACTATTTCAAACGTCCTCGACAGAATACTTTACAATCATTTTTTAAATTTCACCCAATACAACCAAGTGCGAGTGAAACTGATCTATCATTTACAAATGCGCATCAGGTACTTTTCAGAAGCAATGGTTTCAATAGGAATTGGGTGTCATGCTGTAAAGAATCTAAAGCTTTGTTTTGCACAGTATGCTTAGCATATGGCAAAACTGACGATATGAACTCATTCACAGCGGGAATGAATTCCAAGAAACATGTGCATCAATGAATAGAGGAACATGAAAACAGCAAATATCACGAAAAGTGTGTGGAAGTCTGTAAGTGAAAGAGACATTGATAGCATTTATTCTCTCAGCAAAAATTTCTTGTTCCGTATGGTGATTTGTGGGTGAATGTGTGCGCATGGGTAGGGTTGATGAGAGGGTTGACATTCAAGGGAAAATGGTCAATGGACTATTTCAAAGTTAATCTCGATCCAAGTTGGATGGTAAACAGGGATGTCAAGCTACCAATAAATATAAGTTCGGTTGACCAGGTTAGGTAAACAAAATAGTTAGAATCTAGTACGTTTTTAGCGTATCGATGCTCAAAGTGACACTGCAAAAATAAAACAAAATTGGGGGGGGGGGGGTAAATTGTATTTAAGTCACGTCAGACAATAACAATTTCCGGAAAAGGTGTTCCTCCATTTTTGTGCGAAAACAAGTTTTTAAATAATTAAATATTTCGGTTTCAGCCGAAAGTCTCGTTCAACTTTTGGCTTCAGTTTTAGCTGAAAGTCTCGTTAGGTCAGTTAAGCTTTCGGTTTCGGCTGAAATTCATTTTGAACTCTCGGTCTGGTTTCGATTTGCCTCTACATTGAATGTTATTACATGTCGTGTTGAGATTTTAAAAATAAAAATCAATGAATATTATTAATAATATGGCATGTTCAGATAAATAAATCAGTGAATAGTATTAATTAGATTTCATGTCGATATAAATAAATAACAAATACACGCTCCAATGCAGACATCAAACTCCTACCCTACCTTGAACACAAGTTGCATGTCCCATCCCTGGTTGCTGAAAGCTGAGAACAAAATGTTCAGATTCCACAGGTAATCGGAATGTCTCCATCTATCCGGCAGTAGTTTACAAGAGTACTGCAGAAAGTAAGGCTTGAACTCTTCAAGTGTTCTTGGCTACTTTTAAATCCATAATAAGTTATGATCAGGGGTGGACTGGGCCGCCGGGACACCGGGAAGATTCCCGATGGGCCGCTAGGACTGGTAATATAATAAAAATAAAAGTCATGAAGATAGGGCCGCTTTGATTTTTTCCCGGGCCGTTTGAACTGCCCAATCCACCCCTGGTTATGATATGATATTATATAACTAGCCAATATTTCCAAAATTGCATTCGGAAAAACAACACCTTCTACGGCTGTTTATTTAAAATTGAAATTAAGTGCCATGTTTTAAAAACAAACCAAAAAAGAAACAAAAATAGATGAAACAATTAACTTTTCTCCGACAAAAACTTATGTAGAATCACTTTGGTCCAATTTTCTTTCGCCGATCGGATACCGAGCACAATTGAATCCCAGTCGGATCCCGTTTACTAATGCACCCCGACCTCCGAGGACATTCCGATCCCGATTGGATCCCCATCCCAGTTGGATCTCGATCATGATGGGATACTGATAAAGAAGGGTTTCCGATCCCGGTGGGATCCCGATCGCGTTTTTTTTCCCGATCCCGTTAGGATCGCTATCCCAGTGGTCCCGATCCCGGTGGGATCCCGATCAGATCCGTTTACGATGTACCCCGATTTATGATGACATCCCGATTGGATCCCTCTACCGTTTGGATCCCGACCCCGGTGGAATCCTGGTCGCAGTTGGATCCTGTTTTCCAGTGGGATCCCGATCCCGGTGGATCCAAATACCGGTATGTTCTCACTCCCATCGGCATCCTGATCCCGGTGGATCTCGATCAGGGTTGTATCCCGTGTACTGGTGGGATCCTCGTCTCCAATGGGCTCCTGTTTCTCGGTTGGATCCCTATCTCGGTTTGACCCCGTTTACTGATTGGATCGCGTTACCAGTGGGTTCCAGATTACTGTTGGATCTCGTTCCCCTTTAGGATCCTGTTCCTCGTAGGGAGCATGTTCCCAGTGGGATTTCGTTCGCGGTAGGATTATGAAAGGTATGTTTAAGTAAAATCCCCAAGAAAGTCTAGACCGAACTAAAACTGAACTAACATTCCAATCAGCTTTTAGACCCCTCATTGAACAATGGCGACATTTCCGGAACATTATAGATCGTTTAAAAAATAAATTTTCTAAGCAATTATTGTTAGAATACGAAAAATTATACAAATAATGCGCTACTATAACTATAGTACATTTACGTTAAAAAACAGGCACCTGCGGGGGTCCATTCCATAACTGTCAAGAGATTGGGTGACCTATACAAATCATTCAGATAAAATATGGAGTTAAAATTCAAAATTTGTCCCGTGAAAATCTTCTTTAAAAATGCCATAGATCTAGCTTTTTAAAATTATCGAACTTTATGGAAATTTCTAGATTTCTTACTTTTAAATCCATCGATAGTTCAATATGGACAATGAAGTGTATTGCTTCCAAGCTAGGCATAGATCTATCGATTCTCATAGAATCTATGGCGGTGTTTTCCCAACGTGACTTTTTAGGGGGGCAATTTGAAAATGAGGTGTCTAGGATTTAAAAACCAACCGTCCATCATTTTAACTTGTATTTTGAAAAAAATAGCAACCTGAAGGTCTCTATTTACTGCTTATACTGCTACTGTCAATCGTACTATTGACGCCAGTTATGACATTTCCTTACCCATCGCTAAATCTGTGAAAAATCATATAGTATAGGAGAGAATTTAATCAGTCAATATCAGCATTTCTTAAAACGATTCTGGAAAAAGATGACAAAGACGTGAACGCTATGCCACTCAGTATCAATACTGATAGCAGAAGAATAGACGAAATGATTGAAGATATTGAAATACAACTTGTTGAAAAGCTGAAAACAAGAAAATACTCAGTACGGATGGATGAATACAATTTTAGAGACAGTGAGGCTGTATTGTGATAACTTACATAAGGTATATTGATAAAGGAGATTTTGCTGAAGAAATGTTGTTCTGTAAATCATTACAAAGCACCAGTATCGCCAAAGATATATGTAAAATAAGCTACAAAATTACATAGATAATTATATACCAATGAAAAGTATAACATCTTTCGCTGCAGATGGTGCTTCTAATATGATGGGCAAGAAAATGGCTGCTTAAAATTGATGAAAGATGAGAATCCAGAAATGCTACTTGTGCATTGTGTTATTCATAGGGAAAACTTAGGAGCTAAAAACATTTCACCTTTTCTAAATGAAGTACTAAATTCAGTTACCAAGTGTGTCAATGTAAAGCTAATGTCAAATATAAACGTCCCTTCAAGCCATTTTGTGAAGAACAAAATAACTGACTATGTGAGACTTTTACCTCACACTAAGGTAAGATGGCTTTCGAAATGGAATTGCTTGAAAAGATTTATGGAACTATTTGATACTTTTGCTATTTTTAAAATTGAAAAACATGAAGTAACTGTCAATGGTAAAACATTTGTGACTGATTTAGCCGATAGCTTTGAAAAAATTCAAGTAACAAATAAAACTGTTGTGGATGCAAAAGCGAAGAAATTTGGTTTCATTACCTTTATTTAATTATGTCAGAAAAATATTTACAACAAAAATTTTGAAAAGTTTCATTGGCTCTATAAATGTCAAGTAACTGATACCGCTATAATTGTTATAGTCGATCATCTAAAAATTCTATCGGCTGATTTAAAAGAAAGATTTTCTGATTTGAAATAAATTGATTTGCCAACTTGGATGATCCAGCCAATGTTAGTGGATTTGTCTGGTAGTTCACATATGCAGTATAAAGAAGACCTCGCAGAAATGCAGAATGATGAGTCAGTTAAATCTTTATTTAATACTAGCCAATATACCCGGCGTTGCACGGGATAGCATTAGGACACCGATGCCGATAAGACCCCAATCCCATTCTCACCACGATCTCGGCGCAATCTCTTTTCCCGGTGTGATCCCGTTCCCGGTGGGATCCCATTTTCTTGAGGCTACGTTTAAAGGGGGAATCCAGATCCTGGTGGGATCTCGATCCCGTCGGTGTCTTGATTCCAGTGGGATCCCGATGTCGGTGGATGGACAACCGATCCTGTTAAGATACCGTCCACTGTTGGATCCCGTTCCACTTGGGCAATTTCTTTTCCGATGTTATCTACTTTCCCGATAGCATCCCGTTCCCGATTTGATCGCGTTACCCGATGGGATCGCGTAACCGATGGGTTCCAGTTTACTGTTGGATCTCGATCCCCATTAGGGTCCTATTCCTATTTGGGATCATGCTCAGTGCGATTTTGTTCAAATAAGCTTTTAAATTCCATTATATATCCCCGGAGAACATTAAAGAACCTTATGGATCATTCTAGATTAAATTTAATATTCTCCGTGAAAAGTATAAAAAAATTACCTTTCTAAGTAATTATTTTTCAAATACGAAATATTATACAACTAATTTGCCCTACTGTAACTATAGTACATTTAAATTAAAATAGGGGCCTGGTGGGGGCCCATTTAATAAAGTACCTTTTTAGCTTTGTCTGAGATGGGGGGGGGGGCTACAAATATCAGACGGATAAATTATAGAGTTAAGATTTAAAATTGGTCCCATTAAAATCTACTTAAAAATGCCATAGATATAGCTTTTTAAAATTATTGAACTTTCTGGAAAATTCTAGGATGGATATTATTAGTTTTAAATCCACCGATATTTCAATACGTATGATGAAGGGTATTGCTACAACGCTAGACCTATATCCATCAATTCCCATAGAAACTATAGCGTTGTGTAAGCCTATTAATATTTATATGGCTTATATAAGAAAAAATGAAACGGGGCCCCAGGCCCCATATGAATGGATATTATGAGTTCAAAACCCGTCCGTATTTGAATATGGATAATAAAGTATATATTTGTACTAAGTTTGGTCAAGATCCATCTATGGATGTAGGAGTATATGTTGTTAATTTTATTTATGTAGCGCTTATAAGGAAAAAAAAACGAATTCGGGGCCCACGGCCCCAAACAGAATGTTATAAAAAGTTCATAACCCCTTAAGATTTCCTTCCGGATAAAGATGGATATATGTGCAAAGTTTGGTCAAGATCCATCAATCCATTGAAAAGCCTTTGTGGAACAAACTAACACGCACATGCGTAGCTAGGGGAATTCTGGGGATGCAGACCGCACCGGGTAATACTCTCTCAGAAAATGGCATATTTACAGAGCACACATCGCTCGGTCTAACCGAATTTCATAAAAGGATAACTGATCACGTGTCAATTTTCCCCATAGATGAAACCAATCCAATGCGTGCTTCAAGTTCAAGGCTGATGCGTCAGGAATGAGGTTACCCTATAATTAGTTCAGTAACCTTCATAAGTTACAGGAAGCTATAATTTCTTTACAGGTGTCACCATTAATAATAAGCCTACAGGTGATGAGCACGGCGAAATGCTGTATAAGAAATTCAACCAAAGGCTGTTCTACCTCAAAAAACTGTAGAATTTCGGCGTAAACAAGCAAGTCGTTAACTTATTCTACAGTGCAACAATTGGAAGCTTACTTAATTTTCAGTGGAAATTCAACGTCTGATTTTAAACACCGCATAAACCGAATAATCAAGAAAGCTAGGAACATAATACAAACTAAACATCCTTCACTTGATCAACTATTAGAAGAAAGATGTTTTTGTAAAACTAAACACATTTTGGATGATAACAGATACTTAGGATCGGGTCGTTCGGGACGAATTCTTTCTGTCAGGGAAGACTGAGAGATAAAAAAATTCTTTTGTTCCCCAATCTGTACGAATTTACGGGCGTGCTCCCCCTGAAGTTAAACATCTTAATGAGAAGTAATAAATCCCCGATTTGGCTAAGAGAACTCACTGAATGGCTGTTTGAAATAATTTATTATAAATGTCTTATTATTTTATTTATGTGCTGAAAATGTATAATGCAATCATAAAACATTTCCATTTGTTTGGATTGATAAACGAATCTTATTTTATCTTTTATAAATATATATACGACAAGGCTGCCTGCTCTCCCCCACCCTATTCAACATCTTCCTAGAGAGAATTATGTCAGATGCTCTGGAAGCGCATGAAGAGACAGTCAGCATTGGTGGCAGAACAATCACTAACCTACGCTTTGCTGACGACATAGACGTGCTGGCTGGGAACGAAGAAGAGCAAGCCAACCTGGCAAAGCGTCTCGATAAGACCTGGTCGTCCTACGGCATGCTAATCAGTGCCGAAAAGACAAAATAGGATGACAAATAATACCGCAGGCATCACCACTGAAATTAAGGTCGGGGAGGAAAGATTAGAGACTGTCGGCCGCTTCAAATACCTAGGAGCAATAGTCTCAGAAGAAGGCTCCAAGCCCGAACTGATGTCCACGATTGCGCAGACTACAATATCACTAAAAAAGCTTTAAAAAAATATGGAAAGACAAACATATAGCCCCCAGCACCAAAATCAGGCTGATGCGCTCATTAGTCCTCTCCATTTTCGTGTATGCCTGCGAATCCTTGACGATCTTGACAGGAAAATAAAGGCGATGGAGATGAGATGCTTCAGAATCATTTTTGGCATCTGCTATAGGGACCATATCTCCAATGATTCAGTGAAAGAAAAAGTTCGTCAGGCAATTGGGGAGTACGATGACCTAATGGTGACTGTGAAAAAACGCAAATTACAATGGTACGGCCAAGGAAACAAGGGCTTGCCAAAGAAATATTGCAGGGCACCATAAGAGGAGGGAGAAGAAGAGGAAGACAAAGAAAAAGGTGGGAGCATAACATCAAAGAGTGGACAGGACTAGCATTGGGCGATGCAGTGCGTAGTGCTGAAGACAGAGAGGAATGGAGGAGGATGGTTCACATGTCATCTGTGGCGCCCCAACGGTCCAAGGACTAAGGGACATGAGGATGAGGAGCATATATATATATATATATATATATATATATATAGTATATATATGAGAATATATTTTTATATATATATATATATATATATATATATATATATATATATGAGACGATATGATTATTAGACTGGTTAACTTTTTCCTAATGGGTTCGTCCATTAATTATGTCAACAAAATAGGGGAAGGAGGTTTGGAAATGTTTGACAATTGTTGACAAGAGGGACATGAGGGGGGGTGGGTAGATTTGCTGACGTCAATCTTAGAAATGGAGTGGTTATTACATTATTTTAACAGATTTAATGAGTGTAAATTAAAATACTTATATATTGTTTTAGGCTTTTAATAATATAAGATTTATTTAATGTGAGCCTATCTGTGCACTGCTAATGGCTGGTCAGAATGTTATCACACTTTTTTAGTGCAAGAGAAGTAAAATGTTGGCCTGTCTTCACCTGTACATTCAGTTTGTCGCAAATGACTAGGGTGGTATGTTTGCGATCGTGTAGCAAGTATAGAACAAGGACAAGGTTCAAGTGTTATGTGCAGTCAACATAAATGATATTGATAGAGTAGGAATACGATATTTTGGGATTAGGGGAAAGTAAAGTGAGTAACAATAATAACATCGCTATTTGAACGGATTTGCAAAATCTGTAACATCTATTTTGCATCAAAAGTCATGTTGAAATAGCAAGTTCAACAGCACCGACAATGCACAAGAAATTACCACCAGCTCCTCAAAAAAAAAAAAAAAAGGATTCGACTAATGCAAGTAGCTGCCAGGAGACAGAGAGAGCTTATGGCAATTATTGCTCACACTGACCATGCTTATATTTTAAATGCTGAATAGTTAGATGAGGATCATGGTGAGCTCTATGGGAGAATGATAGCAGCTAGAAACTATGCTACAGTTGTCAGCTATACTGAAAATAATCATATTTCTACTTTCACAAACAATGATATTTAGTCTTTAAAAACCTATTAATTGAAATGTCGAAATAATTACTTAGGGGGGATCATTGAAAGTTTGACGTTCCAGGTTTCCGGTTGACAAGTCTGCTGTGACTTGCCGATTAGGAAGCGTCGGCCACCGACCCCCTCGGCGTGT